GTTATTCTTGTTTAAAGTTATAAAAAAATTTTATTATAAAAAATTTGCTTGATTTCTATTGACTCACCCCCATATAGTATACGTATACAGTATATGTAGTTTAATACTGTAAATTTTATTTAATTAAAAATATATACTATATTTTAAACTTTAGTTTTTACAATTTAAGGTTAACAGTTAATATACGTAAAATTAGACTGCTTATACTGTATTATACAGTACTAGTGTTTTTTTTAAATCTTATCAAAAAAGTATACTTGTTTTTTTATCTATCTATCAAAGATGTTATTTTTGCAATATCGCAAAATATATTTACAATATAATTGAAATAACGAGGAAGAATTTTATTCTCATACGTAGCATAAATGAGTACGTACGTATACGTAGTTTATTTTTATATAAATTATATTAACTTTCCTTTTTCAGCAAGAGTAAACCCCTGTAAATGCAAGAAGTCGAAGTATTTTTATCCCCTGCAATAAATCTGACACAAAGATCGTCATCTTAACAAATATCAGGTCCATTATAATACTAAGCCACCCAAACACAATGTATAACGACAATGCTGCGTTTAAAAAACTGTTCTCAAATCTCTCACAAACGAATTATTATTAAAGAGTCGGAAGAACATAAAAGATGCATAAATCACCACTCGATAATCCATCCTCAGCAGGCTCAGCTTCGGGTCAAGAACGTCAAAGGAGTAGGCCAATCATTAGTGGTCCTCAGAGTTTCCCTCAAAGCCCGGACACAATATCACCATTAATACCGGGCCCTGGAATAGTTTATAATGCACATATACCCAGTCCAAATATTCCACCTAGGATAACACATATGACACGTCATCCTCCTAGCCCATTCATGAAGCATACTCAACAACCTCAAGCAATTATGCCAACTTCGGGAAACATGACAATGCAAAATGTATCAAGTCACCCGATCAGTTTAACATCATCTTCTAGAGGTCCTCAAAATGGACAGCCAGGAGGAGTAATGCAACAATCAGCTACTGCACCTCAAGTAGTTCCTTTAATGAACAACCCACCAATATATGCTCTCGAGCATAATACGGTAACTTATAGAAATTTGTCTCCCACTTTAGTCGCTAGACCTCCTATAGGAATGAATATTAATACACAACAACAAAATTTTGAAAGTAATACAAGTGCACCGTCTATTCAACATAATTTTAATGCACCGCTTCTTCATAATTCTCAACAAAATGCATTGATGTTACCATCAGCTCGCATGACAACTTCTACACATCAAGGTGCACCTTCGAAATCAATGTCACATGCACTTATACTTCCGGCCGAATCTCCTCGTAATATAAATGAAACTAATTCGACACATGTGCAAACTTCACCTCTTAGTCAAGCAGCATCACATACTAATTCGACACATGTGCAAACTTCACCTCTTAGTCAAGCAGCATCACATTTATCGAATCGCAATAGTTCACGACCTGTTGTATCTGATAATAGTATTCCAATTTTGCAACCTGTTCATCAACAAACACCTACCCACCGCAGCGCTACGATATCACCACCTATGCAGCATGTTTCTTCGCATTCATCACAACAACGCAATACACAAAAAGCGAATACACAAACGATCTCTCAAAATTCCGTGAAAGCATCTGCGGTATCCAAAAGTTCACATACGACTCCGAGAGCATCCCATAGCAAACAATCTCACAAGACATCCTTGAAATATAGCCAGCAGGAAGCATCATATCAAGAAAACGTGGAAGCAGCTCAAGCTGCTGATGCAGCGCGAGTTCTTGTCATGTCATCAAGACAAAGTAATAATAGTATAAATGAAGATTTCCTAATAAAGGATCAAGAAATTGGTTTGACACCACATAATAGAGGGCATAAAATGAAAAATAGAGCCGCAGCTTTAGATAGTGGTGTTAAATTACGTGCACCATACGGTTATCAAGAAGATTTAGAATACATTGATATACCTAATGGTTCGAGACGTCCTATTATTTATCGTATATCCTCAACGGATGCTGAACAGGTTACAGAGTTTGATGGTGATTTGCTAGATAGCCCATATAAAGATATAAATGTTAAGGAAATACTTGAACCGCTAAAAAAGCCAGAAGATGCAGTAATAAAGCTACATTACAAACATATTTTTAAAAGCAATCACCTTAATTCATTGGCAAGAGTACTGTGTGAGAAGATCGAGAAAGAGAAAATATTCAACATGAAATTAAGTAGACTAATGTATGTGCTGCAAGGTGATGATGTTATGCACCAAGATTTGGATTTCCGACTTAATCCACCTCCAGAAACTGTCAGTACACGTGGTGTTAAGGCAGAAGAGGTTGAAGGTGGGTTGGGTTTTGGAGTTCTAAATGTGGGTTTGCAAGGAAGCGAGAGGAGTAGAGGTAAACTTGCTCAAGAATCGAAGGACCCAGGATTAGAAGTAATGATGCAAGCTCGTAACGAATTAACATCCCTACTTGTGGTCAGTAATGAGATATTGAGGCGTTATCAAGAAACATGGGAAGGATTGAGAAGGGCAATTCGACGCAGGGATGAAGTATACTGTAAGTTGCGTGAAATTGACGCATTGCGTCAAAAAGAGGGACAGTAAACTAGGAATTGACCGATTATAATAAAAGACGATTTTTGTTTTAATCTATGCTAACTAGGGTTGGTAAAGTCCTTAGGTTCGGGACTTTAGGACCTGGTCTTTAAAGACCAAGTCCAAATTTAAGGACCTAGGGTCCTTAGATCTTTAAAAAGTCCTAATATACAAATTTATAATATATAGTTTAAAATGAAATTATAATTGTGCATTTATAATTTATACCGGGGAATATTCATATTCGGAGTGTTATATCTCAAAAAACTAATTAAGAAATAGATGTTAGATATACTAAGTAAAAATGCTCAGAACACCTCAAAACCTAGCGTAATCTAAAAATTAGACTATTATATATAACTTTCCTATTGGTCCCAAAACCGCACCCCGGTAAAAATAAGATTTATTCATTATAATTTATTAAAAATAAAATTCATTTCAACTGCAAATTTTTGCTATTGCATAATTCTGGACAGCCTAATCAATATATATATATATATAGTATAATTTCAATAAAGTTTTAAATAAGATCATCATTTATTTAATGTATATAGTTCACATTGTTATCACACATTCTAATAGGTATGTACATTGTGAGTGAACTAGCCGCAGCAAAAACGTGATCTAAGCCGGGCGCATTGAAAAAGCATTTAATAAATGCTAATTCGGATTTGGCTTGAGGCGAAGCTCCATTAAGTAAAATGCCTCTACGGTGGGAACTAAAGTCATAGTCATGTAAATGAGCATGAATTACTCATCGTTAGTTATAGATTCCCCCAATACTCTAAGTAGTCATATTTCTTAGATTCTAATCGTAGTAGCAAAGCCCCAAAGCTCTCTGTAATGTATAAATAAGCATCGATTTCATGTATCTGAAAACAAGTGAAGTGTTATAATAATAAAGACCATCTAATGATAAACTCCGGGATCTTAGTGGCAGTAGGATCCTTGGTTCTCGGACTAAATCTTCCACGTCCTCTTTCGAGTAGCCTTTGATTTTTGTTGTGTCTTAGGTTGCAAGTACTAGTCACTCCAAATCCGCCCTTTTACAACATAGGTTCTCAGACTAAGTCTTGGACTGGACTTAAAGCCCTAAAACTGGGTTTATAAGGACTTGGTCCATAAGTCCATGCAGTAAAACCTACAGGTTATGAGACCAGGACTGGACTTTACCATCCCTAATGCTAACAGAATTACCATAATAAGGTCATAATAAGCACGTATACTATTCACCTAAAAAACTGATTTGAAATATTAGCAAACATTTCATGCTATAAAATTAAAATTATTTGCCATTCATTATTAACGACATGGCATCTACATTCTAAGGATAAATAATTTTTCCATCAGGCATTAGAGTTCTGCGTTGTGATGGGGAATTATATATTATAATCAATAAAATTTGATAACAGTATTGGAACCGATGAATTTTTTTAAAAAAATAATATCACCGCAGATATCTGACGATCAAAACGTGGTCACTGGTTAATTAAAAAGAATGTATTATGCTTACACCGGGTAATATTTATATCCATCTTTATTATATTAAAATTTGGGGTAGTTATAAACTAAGATAGAGATATGTAAATTTTAAATATATACTGTAGTATAAGGTTTTCGGAAGTTTTGAAACATTTTTTACATTGAACATTCGATCTTAATTACTTAGTAAGTTTTGAGATATATTGCAGCACCCAGTGTTACGTTTTAATAATCGCTTAAATTTATTGTTGAACTTTGAGCGATGTTATCTCGATAACTAGCTATTCAAATCAACTAAATTTTTTTATTTTAATTCTATGAATACATATAATTAAAATAAAAAATTTCATCAATTTCGAATAGGTAGTAGTTATCATCACTCAAAGTTTGTAAAAAATCTCAGCCGTTGTCTTCGTTTGAATTTCTTTTTAAACTTTAAATGCTGATACAGCATTAAGATTCTAACATTCATCTTATATAACAATTGAGTTAATAATTATTATACTGTATATTGTATATTGTATACTATAGGTTTACCTTATTTGTTTGGCGCAGATATATTAATAAGTTTATAAAATTTTTCATAAGTAATTTATAAGTAATAAATTTTGAAAAAATCTAAACAGTGCCTCTATAAAATTAGTGCTTCTAAAATAAAAATTATGATTAGGGTTAGGGTAAAGGAACAATTTTGTTAGTTACACAACAGATTTTCCCTAGTAAAATTTGAGATATTAGGGGGCTGTTCATATATTATACAGTATATATATATATATATATATGTGGGCTGCAAATAAGGCAGATTGACATTTTAAAAAAAATTAATGCCTTAACTTTTACAGCCAATATCTTGATGGATTTTGAGGCTGCCTTAATGATTTATTATTCAAAAGAAAGCATACGATCTAAGCTTTCTTTTGAATACTAAATCATCAAGATAGCCTTAAAATTCATCAAAATACGAGATGTGAAAGTTAAGGCATTAATTTTTTTTAAAATGTCAATCTGCCTTCTATTGACGGCAGCCCATATATAGTTATATATATATTTATTTAAAAGGATTTTATTATAGAAACCTTTATTTTCACCATAGATTTGTAAATCGTGGCCAGAATTAGGGTTATTTGCTAGTTTTACAAAAATTTATTTGATTGGTTGATATAGAACATGTTTATAATATATATATATATATATACTGTATTACGATACCTGATACGCAGATACTTTTGAATTTTTTAAAAAAATGTCAAATATTTCTACCTCATCTACATATAACAACTTATTTAGTCATATAAAATCCTGCATCTTATCTTTTAATTCTGCAAAAAAACTTTCAATATCTTCAAAAAAATTGATAGGTCTCGTTAATGGTTAGTTCTCTTTATGTTAATGTTTCTGAATAGGATAATAAATGAAAAGGAACTTTACGAAAAATAAAACAGATATCATGGCTGTTACGTTAGGAATTAGGTAATGTTATAAATATTATCAATTATTTCGATCATTTTTTATTTCATGCTTCAATTATTATAGCAAATCTTATTTCTATTATTATCAGAGCCGCATACCTTATCGATTTTTCATTCTTAACATTAGACGATTCTAAAACTCTTTTATCCTCTTTTCAAAAAGTATTTTATTTGTACATCTGCTAATTAATGATGGTTCTTGTCCTGGTCAGTCTTTAAAAGTAACAAAGACTGTCCTTGAGTTTTGTGATACTATAATGTTTAATGACTGACAAGTGATCAAAAAAACAAATTACCGTAAATCGCGAAATAACGACCATAAGCGTTATTATTTCAAAATAAAATTGCACTTAATTTCAAACTAACACCCATGGAGCGTCTTAAACAACATTCAACTCATAATATATCAGCGATTTATATATAATATAATCAAGATCAGAAAATAGGCGAAATAACGCACATGGGCGTTCTCGAAATAACGTAGATGTGCATTATTTCACGGTTTTACGGTACTATGCTTTTTAATTACCTTGTTAATTCTGGTCTTGGGAAGAGCCCAAATATTGCACCTAATGTTTTTTCTGCTGGGTCTTTTTATTGCTTCTCAAAATTCAAGGATACCCAAGGCCAAGAGATCATCTCTGCTACCAACTCTTAATTAAGTTACTTACAAAAAACAAACTTTTTTTCACAAAATTTATAGAATAAAAACTTATTTAATATTTGCATTATGCAATTCTCTGATACTCACACTTTTATTTGTAATCATAAATTGGTACTTACGAAACTTGAAAATGATTTAATGAATGAGTTTAAAAGCTGTGTATTTATTGACGTCGCATGGAGCTGCAAAGGTAGTTGTAGGGAACCAGAGATGGTACGTTTATATCTTAAGGTTCGAGTCGATACAAAGACGCTACCATTTGTAAACTCTACTCTTAGATTGATACCCCACCTCCTTTTAAAAAAGTTCTGGAAACGCTCGTTAAACCTTCCTTCTTAGAAAAATCGGCAGTGCTTTTCGTTCCTAAGACTCCAGCTTGTATAGTAACATTCACTGGCTGGATACTTGAATATCCCGTGGTTTATGTCCTTGATTCTGCGCCTGATAATGCGGGTGACATGTTCGATGTACAAACGACGAAGAATTGTCTCGGAAGTCAAAATTTGAAATTATATCGTGCATTTTTGGAGAATGCTGAGGAGGTTAACGATAGAAGGAATAAAAATGGTGGCGTGAATAATGAACCACTTGGGTACTTGTCAATAACTTATTTCAGACGATTTTTACTATTTATTTAACCATATCTATTTATTTATTTTTTTAATAGACATATGTTATTAAGCTTTAGCGTTCCTTCTCATATCTGCCACCATTTCCAACAGGAAAACGATCAAGATGGACTAAATAATGATAACGATACGATAACTAAAGTTTTAAAAAATATTTTCGGTCCGAGAATTAAAAATCAAACATACTGGAATTCGGAATTTAGGGTTGAAACAAGAGATGTTTGTTTGCCTGTTGTTGTTTTATAACATCCTAAACTGATTTAAATTAAGGAACTACCATTCCTGGTTTTTTAATATGATCTTGACAAATAATTATTACTTATTTTACAACAAGTTTACTAAAATGCACCTATGGTGTTCAACACCATAGATCCCTATTTCTCAAAAACGTACTAAGTAAATGGGATCGAGTACTCTAAGTAAAAATGTTCAGGACCCCCAAAAACTTTACAAAAACTAAAATTGGGACCTTATATCTAACATATATTATAATATATAAAAAAAAAAATTTATAAAAATGCACCCTAACCCTAAATTTTATTAAAAACAATTATATATGGTGTTAAATGCCATAGGTACATTTTATAATAATTGTTTTACAATATATAATACATTTCAAGTACTGTAAAAGAGAAAAAAATTTTTTGAGAATTTACATTTTATGTATAATATATTATACAGTCAACTCTCTCTAAGTGCATATCATTGGGATTAAACTTTTGGAAAGTATGTATTAAAAGAACAATAAGAAAAAAATGCATTTATAGAGGTTTGGTATATATTTTGGCCAGAAAATTAATATGCATTTAAGGAGTTATGTATTTAGAAAGATTGCATTTAAGAAGGTCTAACTATATATAAAGAACAATTAATAAGTTACTTTTATTTTAATGAAGTGATCTATTCTACTAATAAAAAATTTTAAAAAATTTATTATATTAAAGGGTTTATTAATAAGTTTACTATTTTAAAAATAGCAAGAGGGCTTATTGAAATAGATCTTGCAATATCATTTATATCAATAGGCATTCTAAAGCAAAGCTTAGAGGCAATAATACCAGAATAGTAGGACAAGTGATACACATTCTTCCAAGACATAATCTGAGTTTAAAAATGCAATGAAGTAATAAACTAGAAAAAAGAACTGCATATCAACTCTAAAGAAAAAAAAAAAAAGAGAAGTGCTTTAAATGGCTTCAAATCAAAAAGAAAATGAGAAAAGGAACCAGAAAATATACCTCTATTAATGAAAAGAAAAATATAGAAAAGAGAAATAGTTCAAGATAGTAGAATAAGTTTAAAGAAAGATTAAATATAATGATAAAAAAAGTAAATAGATAGATATAGACTAGCAAGTAGTCTAGTTGGAATAAAACTTAAAATAAATCATAACAGGCTATAGATTCTGGCTAATAAACTATATATTCGATATCTGCAGTAAATTGAGAAAAAGCAACAAGGCTAATTTTACTTTGGCAGGTCATATATAGGTACCAATAGGCAACTGGGAAAGCTACATTTTAGGTTTAAAAATAGTATAGCTATAAATAAAAATCACATTTTATTGAAAATATAAAATTTATATTAAAATAAAGTTATAATATAATCGTCAAAAAATTAAAAAAAAATAAAAAAAATAATGACAGTTTACTAGTCCTTACGGTGCTGAGGAGAAGAAAACCTGAAGTATACTTAGACGATACATGCATAAGTTGCAAGTGTGCAAAAG